ATTTGAAAACAGAGGTTTCCCTCTGAAAACGCATCAAACGTTTTCCGTCCACACTACGCTGGAGGAAATTGAAAACAGAGGTTGCCCTCTGAAAACGCATGAAACGTTTTCCGTCCACACTACGCTGGAGGAATTTGAAAACAGAGGTTGCCCTCTGAAAACGCATCAAATGTTTTCCGTCCACATCACGCCAGAGAAATTTGAGAACGCAACAATCACCGACCATTTGAGGAAAACTCGGGCAGTGAAATCACGTGATTATCGTGACGTCATCGTTTTCTAAAAGCTTGGTTTTCAAAATGTTTTTCGTCCACATTAAAACGCAAAGCTGGCGTGTTCAAATTCCTCCGGTTTGAAGAGCGTTTTCGAAAAGCTCCGTTTTCGACGCGGATTAATGTGAACGGTAGGCCTAACCGGCGTAGTGTGGAAAACACTACCTAAACAGGTCGTGGAAAATTTGTCAAACGCAATCAGACAAGGGAAAAGCCCTGGAAACGAGGTTGGCAACAAGAAGTAGTCTAGAAAGGAAAAAGAACATGTCGTCTTATTTGATTTCCTAATCATGGAAGGCTTTTGCACCAGGAATACAATAAGAAATTCGGCAACAACTCGAACTCGCAGTGGCTTCATGGTTAGTGCGCTCGTCTCCGGATCGAGCGGTCCGGGTACACTTCACTCTCACAGTGGCTCTCTCCACCCAGGTGTATGAATGAGTACCGGCGAACTTAATGCTGGGGGTAACCCTGGGATGGACTGGCATCCCATCCATGGGGGAGTAGAAATACTCCCAGCCGCTTCACGCTACAGAAACCGGGATGAGCTCCGGCCTAGTGGGCCACTTCGCCCGTATGCAGACTTTACCTACCTACCAATAACTGAAAGAATATATTTATTATGGCTACCACTCCAGTATACATATATACAAATCAGAGATCTGTTTCAGGGATACCGTAGTGAAGGTTAGATGACTAGCTAACGACTATGATAATGTAATTCTTCATCATTGCTGATTGATACAAATTAAAGTCAAACTTTTTACATTGACGTGTGTGACAGACATTGCCCATTTTAGGCTTCAAGACCAGAACAGAGCTTATCCTGCAGTAAAATGTTTTT